ATGAAGAGCCTGTGGTTCTGGATTGCTCAAGTCTGATGGGGACCTGAAGAGGATTGTTCAACAAAATTTGTCACTGCCACAGTGGTGTTATTGCACCTCCTGCTTTCTGCGACTCGTTAGCATGAGACCATCTGCTCTAGCTGTGCTTAGTTAGAGCAAGCACTTAATTTGCAAACCTGTAAATGGCACCCAAAGCATCATTATGGAAAAAAATAGAAAATATTTAATGATTTTGCTTTATTTTTTTTAAAGGCAAGTTGTTTTAATTAGTCTGTCAAATGACAGCAGTGTTCTATCAGAAAGGTCAAAGATGTTGTTATGCTAAGGAACAGTGGTTGAAAGCACATTTTCCTATTTCTTAAAATCTCTTTTGCTTTCTTGCAAATTAAAAATAAGCTGTTTGATTCCTTAAAGCAATAAATCAATATAAAACACACAGGATTTCCATTTTTCCTGGGAGTTGTTCCAGCAGCCTGGAAGGACCATGTTCATAGTGCCATATGTGTACTTGCCTCTATCATCCAGAATACTGCAGAGCTTTTATAGGGCTATCTTTAAGCTCTTGGGAAGTTCTGCTGTCCAAGAAGGAAATTCAAAATAAGAATGCATTTCTGTGCAAAAATTACTAGATTTATAGTTCACATAAATTTTGGAGTTAGGAGGCAGACCATCCAGAGGCGCTAAACTCTCCCTTTTCTAATGAGTGCACTCGAATCTTAAAGGCCTCATGAGTCATAAGATACCGTATGATATCCTATGTGGTATCTGAAGATACCTGGATCTCTAGGTGTTAGTGTGTGCTGAAGCACAGAATTTCTGGGTATTTTACCCATTCTAGCTTGTGTGGATGTGCAATACTGCGTGCACCTTATACCTGTGTCAATGCTTTACCAGTGTAGTGTAGTGTTACAAGACAGATAAAGTATTTATCTCAGTTCTCTGTGTTTATCCACATCTAGAGGTTGTTTTTATGTTTCTCTGGAAGGCGGTGTTTGTTTTCCCTTGTGTTCCTCCTGGGAAGCCGGGGAAGGGCCACCACATCTGGCCAAGGTGTTTCTGTTACTGCATATTCCTCCTTTTCTTTACTATGGACAGACATAAAATGATGCATCCATAGAGACTATAGCTGGTTATTTCACATATCAGAACTAAAACATTTCCAGTGATTGACAGSCCTGGGTATTCTTGTCTCACAGACATCTGCGTGGGAAGGTGTAGCTATTCTTAGGTCTGCCTTAGATGTCTTCAGGATAGTTGCCCACCTGTGTGAAGCTAACAGGTGGGAGTTGTAGTTGTTTGCCAGGTGATTTCTGTTGTTTCTCCAAGTTTAGTGGACAGGAGAGATGCTCCAGAAATATTAATGGGCTTTTGGAAAACGAGTTCCTAAACTGCACTAATAGTACGTGAATTCATGCTATCTGGCAGCCAGAGGAAGGACTTGTCRGCAGCATATACTGCCTTTCATTCCTGGGAGCTTGGTCAGCCACTGAGATGGTTATTCTCAAAGATAGATGGAAATATTAAAAATAGACTTAAAGCCGGAGTGCTGAGAAGAACTTTTATTTAGCTATTGGCAAAGCTGGAGATTTTGTTCCCTGTTTATTCCTTAACTATGCTATGAATGGGTCTTTGTTCCTTCTTTTATTTTCTGAGACTCTGCTGCTCTCTCCTGTGTTGGATTCGTGCCTTGTTGCTCACATCAAGCATCAAATGGAGAGAAAAGAAGTTTGACTTCATACACACAGTTGCGGGTTGATAAGCAAAATTCTTGCATGTTTGGCAGGCTTAAGGCAACATGCTGAGCAGACTAGTGCATGTTACTATTACACGTGCAGTATACAAATTAATTGATTTTCATTGGGCTCGTTCTACAGGCAAGGCAAATGTGAATGATTTTTACATTTTTCCAGTGCAAATGAAAAAGGAATGGAGTGCAATATTAGGGAYTGGAAGATACTGAAAATGCTTTCTTAAGTTTCCATTTAGTTTTATTTTTATTAACTTTTGCTGCTAGTCATTTTTATGCAGCAGGACTTAACAGGTAATACCATCATAGAGGCCTACTTAAGAATTAGCATTTGTTGACTGTAAAATCACAGAGTATCAAATGACAGTTCTTCAGTGCTGTTAGAGATAGCAGCCTGGGAAAAAAAGAAAACGTGTTTTTTCCTAAGCAAGTAGATTAGTCTTCAGATCTGTGTGAGATACTCTGCTGTCAGCTAACTGAAAAGCATATTCATGCGTGGAGCTATGGAGTTATCAGAGAAGCCATCCCAAAGTTCTTGAGATGCAGTGCAGATATCTCGCTGCCATCTCAAATCCCACACCACTTCCAAGCACTCCGCAGCTTGCTGCCAGGGCTGTAACAGGAGACAACACTGTTCCCTACTTAAAACTTGTCCTAAGSGCATGAGACATTGCTTTGGTGTACAGAGTGAAGGCCACACAACCAGCTTAGGTGCTCATTGTTCCTGGTCCTTTGTTATCCTGAGGTCTATGCGACCTTTTTAATGTTTCACTGATATGAACCTCAGTGATATTTGGAAACTGTATCCAGGTTTTAAATATCTCTTCCTTCAGCCACCGATTGGGATGACAAGTGTTGGGTAGGAGTGGATGTGTGACATAACGCTGGTTTCCTGCCCGACGGGAGTAACAGCTGGTGGTAACTTTCCAGTGTGCTCCCCGCTGCCGTCCTACACGTTTCCTTCCCCATTTCCTTCTCCTGGGTCCTGGGGAATGATCATCCCCGCAGCACGGGGCCTCTGTGCACCGAAGTCGTAGGCAGCGAGGCTGATGTTCCTCAGGAGCTCATGACCCTGTTCCCAGGGCTGCACCTCTCAACTTTTCATTCAGGCTTCTTTTACTATCCAAACGAGAGCATAACTGTACAGCTCGTGCTCTCCTCCGGTCAGCTGGGGATCGAGGTCAGTCGGATGGGATGGTTCCAAGAGCAAAGGAGCTCGCGTGGCTGCAGTGCTGGATGCAGCAGCCTGGCCRAGGAAGCTGCTCGGAGAGGGCTGCGCTGGGCAACAAGGGAGACCTGGTGGGATGATGGGAATACAGGAAATTGGGGATTATAGAAAAATTGTTACTTCCTCCGCACTGCAAAGTAGGTAAAGAGGAAACTATAGCCCTGGAGCCTCAGATCCACTCAGGAGCTGGATTTCTCTTCACCCATGAATAAAGATAAAGATTTTTGAGGGGGTAACACCTCAAATAGTCACCTACATGGTCTCTGTTACGGAGATATGCTAAAGTAAAAGGCAGAAATAAAAAGGCCAACTTCCTGCCCTGCTCTGATTTCTGGGCCAAAAAAAAAGGACATTTTCTTATTTCTTTAGGAGTTTTCTTATGGCTTACAGTTTGGAGGAAACTCTAGAAGAACTAATTACCCCTGACAAGATTAAGGAGCCAAATGTGGCAACAAGATTTAATGCAAATGATTTTAAAACTCTTTGGGATACTAAGATGCCTAAAACCTGAATTAACAGTGATATCATTACCCCAGATCAAAAACTTTTTGTGTGGTGGGTGGCTAAGCCTGTTTGAAAAGTTACTATCCAGCTTTTGTCAAAGAGGAAATATTTTACAACATTCCTAACATTTCTTGCATCAAAAAAACTTTTCATTTAAAAACAGTAGTGAAAAAATATCTTTAATATGGCACATTTAAAATTGCCTTCACTCAAATCTTTCCAGTTGTGATTGGAAAAAAGCAACTGGAATATTCAAACAGGTATATTCAGGAATGTTCAAAAGAAGTCACCCACTGCCTTAAAAATATTGCACTAAATATTGCACTAAACCAAATATTGCAGTAAACAAATATTGCACTAAACCAAATCAGTAGTCACACTGCGTACATCAGTTGGTTTAACTGTCTCACTGAGAAGTAGAGATTACCAGGTTTTGTATGATGTATGCTGCTGGGGGTACTTCCCCCTGCCATGCAAGACCAGGATGTAGTGACAAGCACAATGATGTGACTTAGRATCAAATAATAGTTGTTATAGCAAAATCTCCATTTTGAATTTCACTCCTTCTTATAAATCCAGTCAAGTGTGTTTCCATATCCTAATGGATATAATCCTAATCCTAATATCCTAATCAATACAAACAGGGATAATCTGTATCTCTATCTACTTTTGTATGACTTCACCCAGACTGTTGGCTTCCTTTMCCATTTTATAATCCTAAAATATCATCCTAGCACTCTCCCTAGTGCAGTGGAGAAAAATACATCTCAGAAGCTCCTTGCTCATCTTCTTTAACCCTTCTCTATAGATGTAACCTTAAAAATATAAAGTGACAGCTAGGATTGAAAACTCTATTTTTGCTGGGAGCAGATGGTTCTGGAGATCCTTCTGATTTGTGGTCGGTGTGTGATGCTTATCAAGTAAACCTAGGATCTGTTAAAAAAAACAGCTTGTAAACTGTCATTGAAGTTTACAGCAGTTCCCATGCACATCCCAGTGACTATTTAGATAGAGCAGTATTTTTAACCACAGTCATGCCCAGGAGAAATATCAGGCAATTGTAATCTGTAGAAGACATTTCTTTATAACGTTACTGCTTTAGATTATGAAGGTTTGTATCCTCTATACATTTTCTTTAACCTATTAAATATACATGAGTAATATATGTACTAGCACTGCACTCGATTTCTAAGGACTAACAGCTTCTGCACTGAGGTTCTATTTTTATATGGAATGAATTCAGATTATTATTATATATCATAATAATAATCTAATCATAATAATAATATCATAATAATAATATATAATATATATTATGATATATATATAATAGATCACTGATCTATTTTACTTTGCAAGCAATGTTTTTCAGAGGCAACTGCTCTGTGATCATCAGCCTTTGAATTGAAGTGCTTGAATATTAACTCTAAGAACTGTACTGATTGCAGTTGAAAAAAGCATTGTTACAGAGAGAGTTTCCTTTTTTCCAGCCTTTTGAATCTGCCTTTTCTCTTCCTGCAGCTTGTGGATGTGACCTGGCTCAAGGAGGATTTTTTGTGAGACAGGGAGACTACATCTGTACTTTGGACTATCAGAGACTCTATGGCACACGGTGCTTCAGTTGTGATGAATTCATTGAGGGAGAAGTGGTCTCAGCACTTGGCAAAACCTATCACCCAGACTGTTTTGTGTGTGCTGTTTGCAGGTAGGTTTTTTACGTGAAATTGTATTTCATTTTTAAAAAACACATTTTGAAAGAAAAGGCCAATGCCAAGTCTTCATCAAACTTATAGCACTTAGATGTAAAATATAGGTCTGTGTTCCTTAAGAACTAGGAAAAAAATTAGAATTCTGGGGACATCAATTAGTCTGGTAGGGGTTTTTTTTTTTTTTTTTTTGTCTGTCTTATGGTATCTTACGCTTTAATTTTTAAGGTGCTTGAGAAATTGCCTCCACTGTCAGAAAGGTTTGCCCCAGTCACGAATGTTGTTTTATTCTGTTGTTTTATGTTTTGTTCACTGAAACTACAGAGACTGGAAATGCTAAGCTCAGTGGATACCATATGGGGAGGCTGTGTCTGAAATATCATTGTGCTGCTTCTTAGAACCTGTGGTAATCATTTAAATCGAAGGGCAGAGAGGCCCTGGTCTCCAACACTTACGTATGTGCTGGATTGCACCAAGTGTCACAAGCGCTGTGTAAGTGACAAGCAAACACAGCACAAGTTTTCCCTTGTTTYGTGTAAGATTTTTCATTTTGCATGATGTAAGCAAACATAAATAGTAAAAATAGCAGAACAAACAAAACGAAACAAACAAATAAAAAACTTTCTTTATTTTTTAGATGAGAGATAGRATGAGTTAGATGGCCAACTGGGAAATTCATAAAGTAAATTCTCTTGTGAGTTTTTGTTCTGCAGCCTGTGCATTTTGCAGGCTGTTCTGCATGGCACAGTTATTTCCTCCTGCCTTTCTTCCTATCACCAGTGTCTTTTGTCAAATATTAATCTAAAGCTGAAATGAAAAAAAAAACTCCTTGTCACCATTTTCCCACTAAATGTACTCACATCTTCAGCCACTGCATTAGGATTTGTCACAGAGTCCATTATTTACCTTGTGTTACTCTACTTGGCAACTTGGTGCCTGATTTAGGTCTTACTTGCTATATAACCTGCTGCTGCATTTAGCCAGTTCTTTAGCTCATAGTTTGGGGCTCTTGGATGTGTTTGACATATTTCTTTAGGAGTTCAATACAAGGCAAGCTCAGCTGCAGTGCAGTGAAAATCCTCACTAGAACATATTGGAARTAATTATATGCAACTAAGACATGCTAAAGTTACACTAAAGTTACACTACACTTCTAAAAATGAAGTATGCAACAATATTTTGTATGGAGATATTCAATGAGGTTTTTGTTATCCTTCATGTGTTTTGGTAAACGGCAGGATTCATTCTGCTGATGAACTTTGTAGTTTCTGCGACCTGAATCTTTGGTAGAAAGACACAAACTTGCTTCCATCACTTTCCTTAAAAAGACACAGATATTCTTGTCATTTTCTTCAGAGCCAACTCACGTCCATCGGACCAGCAAGATTCAATTAGTGCCTTTTGGTGAGTTTCTAACACTGACTTATGGGGTAGCTCAACAGAAAGACTGCTTTAAATCAGCATTAATTCAACTACCCAGTCTCTGCAAGCAAAACATAATTTATAGTTCCTGTGGGAAGGAGTGTCCTGTCTAAACATCATCAGCATTTGTTTTATTCTGAGTGATATGATTAGAAAAAATGAGGTGGATAGACTGTGAGCACATGGGAGTTAGCAGCAAGATTTCCTTTTTTGTTTTTTGTTTTTTGTTTTTTTTTTTTTGTTAAACAAAAACACCCAGAAAATAGACAGTTGGTTTGTGGGACAGAATAATCAAGCAGTTGGCATTTTACTTGGCATTTTCTTTGGAGGAAAGAGTCAGAATTATCATTTGGGTCTTTTTTCTAATGCAAGGAACCTTAAATTATGGGCCCAAAGYGTGGCATATTAGGCATCTGGCAAAGTATATCTGGCATTGCCTTATAAAACTGAACTTGGTAACAGAGGCACTTTGCACTCAGGAAAACAGTCCTCAGAATATTACAGGATTTCARAGCACTTTTATAATCCACATTTGCCTAGCTGCTGAAAGTAACACTTCTAAACTGTTCTTGCATTGAGTAGCAAGCCAGTGGTAGTTGCAACTCTTTTTTTTTTTTGGCCTCCTCTTCAGAGAAGGTAAGATTTGAATAGAAACTGGTGGGAAGTATGTATTCCTTCAGGTGGTAAAATCAGTCAGAGAATCTAACATGCCTGCAGCTAGCTAGATCATTGGGAATAACTAGTAACATAGGCCGTGCTCCTTTCTTTGGGGTACCAATATTATGGCTTTTGAGTGCCCCATGCCTCAATAGCAGAGTAGGGCTGTCCTCCTGGGGTTAAACCTTGGGGCTCAGTTCAAAAGTGGAAAAAATGAAGCAGCATTCATGTCAGTTATGAAAGCCTGATTATTAAAATTATAATAAAACATAGTGTCTTGTGTGATTGTTTCTTGTGTTGACCAGTTGGCTCTTAATGAAAGAAAGTTAGATTTAAATTGTATGTTAGCTCTGCCAACAAAAAGATTGAGGGCTTATGCCCTCCTTCTCCCAGTACTTTTTATAGCCTTAGCTGACTGTTCTCTTCTATTGTGTTTCGTGATGATAGTGTATAAAACTTGGGATGAATAGAACAAAACGGTTTCAAAAAAGTTGCAGATGAATTGCTTACTCTGAATCYTCAGGAAAAGTAGAAACAATCTTTATCTTACCGTTTGATTTATTGGAAGTGCCCACTTCTTCCAAAGCAAGTTCTTCCTAGGACTTCCAAAGATAATTCCTCTGAAAGGTCCACCTGTTTGTAAAAGTGAAAGGGGGGAAAAGAAAGTAAGTCTATCTGTATTAATAGAAATTGAATTTTACTAAAATCATTCACAATTCATTCATCCATCTATCAGAAATAGGACTGTAGGACAAAGTGCCTTATGCTGGATGTGAAAGGTGAGAAAACAGAATCTGATAAAAGCAGTGGGAAATTACAGCAATGATGAAAAAAATACTGTGTTTTTTTTAATTAAAAAAATGAAAAAAGGAACTTTTATGGGAAGTCTCAGTGTAAGAAATACCTAAATGTATTAAGCAATAATGTCAGGCCCATCTAGGGCAGGCAGTCTACATAACGTTATACTATGCATTAACTCCACAKTAGATTTCAGTAGTATTGACAAGGTCTATGTGCGCAAGTTACAAAAAGTGGGATTTGGCTTTATGACTACTGAAGAGTGGGGAAGTGTTTATTCACTCAGAGAAAAGTATATAATCACTTTTTTCTCCAATTTTAATATTCTTATAATAAAAGAACAGAAAAGTAGAGCATTGTATAACATAATGTAGAGAGTGGAATGAGTTGGTTCTTGATTAGCTACAATAACAAGTTCATGTTTGTTTTATGGAAATTAAAATACAAAATCTTTTATCAGAAGTTAGGATTTTTTTTTTCTTGAAGCAGCACATTGATAGAATTTAAATATATGCCCTGTAGAGGTGAATAAATTTTAGTGTATGGAGGTACAAGAGGCATAGGCACATATTTGTCAAGGTTTTTTTTTGTGCCCCATCTCCAGATCTAAATCTTCTCCAAACCCACTTGTATTCTTTTCATCTTCAAGAATATCATTAAGCAGTGGAATATATAAGCACAGTAAATGTCATGGGACAGCTCCCATGACTGGAATGTGGTCATGGAGRGYTACAGGCTTTTCAGGAGGGACAGGGCAGGAAGGYGAGGTGGCGGAGTTGCTCTTTATGTGAGGGAACAACTGGAATGCATAGAGCTCAGCATAGGGGAGAATGGAACGCGAGTAGAGAGSCTGTGGGTGAGGATAAAGGGGCAAGCCAGCAGGGGMRACACGRTGGTGGGAKKTTACTACAGGCCTCCTGACCAGGACGAGGAAGTGGACGAAGCCTTCTATGGGCAGCTGCGGGAAGCTTCCCGATCACAGGCCCTGGTCCTCCTGGGGGACTTCAACCACCCTGATAYCTGCTGGKAAAACSAYRYAGCCAGGAACAGACAGTCCAGGAGGTTCCTGCAGAACATTGCAGATAACTTCTTGAYRCAGGWGGTTGAGGAGCCAACAAGGGGAGGGGCGCTGCTAGACCTGATACTAACAAACAGAGATGGTCTAGTGGAAAATGTGAGGGTTGGGGGCAGTCTGGGCTGCAGCGACCACGAGATGTTGGAATTCACGATCCGGTGTGGAGGAGATGGGGCGAGAAATAGAATAGCTACCCTGGACTTCAAGAGAGCCAACTTCGACCTCTTCAGGGAGCTCCTTGGAGCAGTCCCCTGGGTCAG